TTGGTTTGTTTGGTTTTGTTTCTTAATTTGGAGATGATTTGCTTTTAAGCACTCCCAAAGCATCTGAAAGCCTGTTCCCCATTTGACACTGGAAGAGATGTCCTTACGTACGTATGTGCCTTTCTGGTCTTACTAAGAGCTTGACTGATTTTACCAAATGCTTTAGGCTTTTCAGACAGCACAGCTGAACATCATCAGGTAGGCTGGAATATCCCCATTATTTCCATTTCTGAGATAAAAATATAAGAATTTGAATGAGAAGACTGGTTCCAGGGCATGTGGAATAAAAAAGTATCTTAGATTCATGGGCAGAAGAAAATGGGAGGGCTCATTGACTTCAGTCAGAATCATGGGGGTCACTTCTGCTTTCTCTGACACCTGCTGCTCCTGTTTTCCAATAAGAAGCCTGGTCCTTGATGACTACACCCCACCCACTTAAATATACCTCTTCACAAGGGAATAAAATAAAATGGCATTTTAAACTTTATTTGGATCCTTGCAGCATTCATTAAAGTGCTTTCCCACAGCAATCTGCAGTAAACATCCCATTCCACCCCACCTGCAATACATCAGCTTTAATACGAACTCTCTCAACTTTTCTGAAAGCTTATGTTTTAGAACTCAAGAAATCATCCAGTTCAGATTCAACACTTTTTCATTTGAGGACACTGTGGTAAAATGAGAGATCATATGGCTCATTTCTGCTCAGTGGTGACACAACAGACATTTGAGACCCAGCTTAACTGTCACCCCCTCTTTCCCTATCCATACCTACTTCCTTCTCTGAACTAACATGGCCTTTTTTGTAACCTGCCTCTGTCATAACCCTTCCATTACAGCACTTACCTCATTTCATATTTTTCATTTGTTTATATCTATTTTACCACTTTACTTTGAATTCCTTAAAGAAAGAGATAAAGTCTAACTCATTTTTTAATACCTCCCTAAACTACCGAGTAGCCACTCAAAATTGTCTGAAAGTAAATTCATGAATGACCACAGCATTACCAAACCTCTGTGATGTTCGTTTTCTGTTTACAAAATGAAGATTGCACTGATGTCTCTCAAGATAATTGTGTAGTTACGTATGATTGCCAAGCGTTTTAAGACCATAAAAAAGCTGTATAAATGCCAACCATGATTACAGGCCTTTGAAACAATGGGATACATGACTTACAAGTGGAAAAAGATGAGACATAGCAGGTAATGCTTCTTGTCTGGTTCTCATTTCTATCCCCACCCACCATCAGATAGTAATTCAGAGGTAAAAACATCAACTTGTGAAGATGGGGGAGTGTTTCACTAGGGTCTAGAGAGGGTTTCGAGGGCCTATGCCATCACACTGCAATCGAGAGGGAAGGAACTAAATCTGACAAGAGGGACCAAGGTCGAGAGCTCCCAGATAGAGGAATGAGATCCCATTCACCGTTGAAGTGGAGGCTCAGATGAAGAATGCACTTTGTCTGCCCTTCAAGAGCAGAAGACGACTTAGGAGAAGGACTGGAAAATTTGTCCAACTCTGCTCTATCCTCGACCTCCTCTGAGGTAGCCTACCAAGGAAAGGGAGGGAGAAATTTGTCTTGTTCACTTTCTGTGCCCCCTCCCCGCAGTGTATCCTATAAAGTGGCCAGAAAAGGTGTGTTGTATACTGAATGAATGGAGCGTTCATGTTTTCCTCCCTAGCAATGTGTGTCAGGAAAAGAGAGGGCAGGGGGCATTTTGTTTGGTTATTTTTCTTGAGGGGTCTTAACAATATCTTTGAAGGAAGGGATGATTCACTCAGGCAACTTTTCACACGGCTGATGTCCTCATCCACTGCAGAGCATGCCAGGATCAATGATCAGATTGTTCCAGACTTGTTGTCTGGCCCCAGAGGTCAGCAGCAGGCACAGAAAACATCGAGATTTTCCAAGGGGAGGAGGTAAAGGGGGAGCTCTGACAGCATGAGTCTGCAGCTCTAACTCAGCAGTGAGCTCAAAAAATGGCTGATGTGACTTGTCTCAATGTGTCTGAAAAAGTCAACCAGGTTCAAAACAAAACAAGCCCTATGTCATGTTAGAAACATCAAATTACCTGGGAATAGAGGATTTGTGGGTGGGCTCTGGGACTCTGTGTGGAAGTCACTTCACGGGCTTCTTGGCAGGAGGTAGAGAGGTATCATCAACATGGGCCCCGTCTAACTTATGGTTTAGGGTTTTATGCCAAATGGCTCCTGTTTTCCCAGAGTTCTGGATGTGGGAACAGTTCAACTTTTTCCCACTTGTCAACTCTACCATTGTCAGTCACCTCAGAATTTTAATTCTTTGGCATAAGGAACTGGTGAGGTGGGCCCCTTACCTCCTTTCTTGACGTCAGTGAGGGAGTTGTTCCCCGTGGCTGTCTTACATGAAGTAATTCAGCATTTGTACTTCAATTAAAGTTCATAGGTATGTATTATTAAATGGTACTGACTCATTCCATGGCTTTTCGTCTGCTGCATAAGTTCCAAAAAAATGCTATGTCCACAGTCATGATGAAGATGGCATTAAGCTGAAATTTCCTTGCCAAACCATTTACATTCTAGGCTCTGAATAAAGCATGCCACACATCCAAGAGTATCACTCTGTCCTGTGTCAGTGTTTTCTCAAGAGAAAATTTAAGTTCAAGATTTTTTCTGCTTGGAGAGAGAGGAAAATCACTCCTGACAAGAGCCTTCTTCTCTTTTGTGAGTTTCACAAAAGCAGTACCTGGCACATGGTATTAGCTCAAAAATGGGACTGATTTAATTGAATTATGCAACTCATATTCATTGTATCTCAGAGCAGAAGGGCAAATGTGCGTTCACACTTCACCCACCAGGAAAATAAAAGTGAGGGGAAAGTTTAGATTTTATAACATCATCAAACTTTTCTTCTTCACATTAATAGATTGTTTTATATTGGATATGTCTGCAAGGACGCCAAGGGAGTAAACAACCTGGTGCTTTTTTCTCCCCTTCTGTTCTAAAGACTGTGCTTGTACCTCAGACACAGAAACTCTGAGCTCACTCATCACAGGGTCCCACTTCAGTGCTCTCCATTTCCTCATCTACAAAATGGGCATCACAATCTGTGCCCTGAATACCTCCTGGGATTCCCAGCACGTAAACAGACTCCGTGTTATAAGAATTCAATACAAGCATAGAGGTGAAAAATCAAAGCTTTGTAAAACTTCAAGCTTTTTCCACAAGGGCGGTATAGTCAGCAAGGCAAGTGGTAGTTCTCCAAAAGATAGATGAAGAGTCCTAGACTTGAAGTCATAAAAATCGGGCTTTACAGCCTGGGAGGCCCTCAAACACATACAGCACTGTTGAGTGAATTAGAAAAAGGCACTCCTTCTGGACAGGCACAGACAGCCCTGCAGGTCCACAGACTGGGGAGCAAATACCACCTTTGCCAAATGGAAAAAGGCAGCCCTTCCTCTAGGGGGCGCTGCCCTGTGCCACGACTCCAGCGCCCACAAGCCCCCTGGCCAGGTACTCGTGCGTTACTCAATTTATCAGCCTTGGCTCTCCCTGCTGTTATTCTGTAATCATGGAATTATCTTTCTGACCTCTGACCTTCAGTTTCCTCCAAGGGTAAAGATGGAATTGAACTGTGACTCCGATGGCCTCCTTCACTCCTTCAGCTCTAAAAGCTACACACATTCAAACGGGCTTTTCCCTCCATCTCCATGGGGGACTATAGAGCACCCAGACTATCATTTCTGAGCTCAAATTTTTAAAGCCATCTGATGATACTCCCTAGTTATTTGAATGAAATTATATACGGTTTGATGTGGAGTGGATTAAAAATATAAACGCTTCACTGTATACGTGATGTGCCAGGTGTAAAACAACAAGGGTAACCTACGAAACAGGAATAACTTCTCTGTTGTCAGCAAAGGGCACAGATACTGATCTACCACAAGGACATTTCGAAGCCTTCACCTACTTTCCGTGGGGCTGAATGTCAGAGTCAGTGAAGCCCCTGCCTCTCCCAGAGCGCCCAGAGCACCCAGGAAGCAGGAACTGCAAGGAGCCAAAGACTGTTTTCTTTGTTGATGCCGTGTTGCCAGAAAACAGAAATTAGATCCTTGCCCAGATCTTCCTATCAGCAAATCTGAGTGCCAGCAAACACTTCTCAGCGAGACAGCAAACAAATAGCAATGTACCTTTTCAAAGCTCAGGAACTTTTAGCCCTAAAATCGGGTTTCAAGTTTTAAAATCACATATACATATAATGAACCCAGTCATAATTCTCAAAATGTTAGTAGGAAATTTGATGGTATTTGTGAACGTTTCCAAAATCAGCTTTTTTTCCTTTTCTTTTCTATTGCTTTGTATTTGAAGCAAGACGAAGGGCTTTTGGAAACAAGTATAACTAATTATGTCATTTACAGAGAAGAAAGCTGCAGCCCAGATAAGGAAAGAGAGCAGCTCCAGGTTATGCAGCAGGGTATATGTGACTGGGCTGGGATTATAAGCTAATACTCTTTCCACTCTCCCATGATGAAAACACAACCGGAACGTTGGGCGGAAAACAGCACATAAATCGCTGTGACTCATTTTTTCAGTCTCCAAGGATGAATGTTCTTACCACTAACAAAGATTGTAAATGGGAGAAAGTAGATGTGATGTTTAGAAAACGTTTTTCTTTGCTGCTTTTCTGAAGGGCTACTGCACCCACCTCTGCCCATCACAGAGGCAGGTGACCTCCCACTGGCTAGAAGAGACCCAGCCCCAGCTCAAATGCCTTTGCAGTGTCTTCCGTAAAATTGGAGCCAAGGACCAGACGCTATCTGGATGAACACCTCTGTTTGCTAACCATGCGTGTTTCTTCAAAAGCAGTGTTTCCACCTTCCTTTCGGCCTCCAAGCACCTGCCAGCGGAAATAGTTGTGGCCCAATGATGCCCCTGGGTTGTCCCAAAAGCTCCTGTGAGGCCACAAAACCATTACGTGAAGATAAACCAAACGTGGGAGAAGAAAAATAAGTGCCAGATATTAAAATAAGGCTCCCTTTATTAAAACAAATTAGACACAAAAACAAGTCCACATGCGGAAGAGCAGCAAAGAGGAGACACCACCAAAACCCATGCGGATGAAGACTGGATTCCATCAGAAATCCATTTTTCTTACTTAAGATCAAAACGCTCCTTCTTACCGGGGGACCCCACTCTCAGGTGACATGGCAATCATGCCTAGATTCAGGGGGATTTAAGATTTTCTTCTAAAGTCACTGAGGTGAAGAGCCATTCTAAACAACCTTTTTAAAGACACAACTCATAGGGATCCTTTCTGGAGCATTGCGCAGGGTGAACTGAAGTTTCCAGTGTTAAGTTTATTCTTTGGTGAAAAGACCAGAGTCAAAAACTCCACCAAGGCCCTGGAAAAGCTGGGCTCCTCTGTCTCACGCAGTGCTCATCAGAGTGGTTCTTTCTCAGAGCCTGGGGACTCTCAGGCCAATGACACGTGAGGCAGTGAAGACCTCCGTGCTGCCAGGGTGCCTCAAACTCGAACTCATGGCCATCAGCACTGTGAGAGGATGTGGCTGAAAGGCTCAGAGCCAGAAAGGCCTTCTGAGACCAAATCACATGCTAACTTTGGAACTACAGCATGCATGGGAGCTGTAGTTTCGCCAAGAGCAGACTTACTTTTTCTGCTTGAGCTTTTGGAGATGCAGCAAATGAAGAGTGTGTGTGTGTGTGTGTGTGTGCATGTAGGGGGTGACTGAGCTTTGAGAGATGAACTGATGATAAACCAAAACAAACAGACAAGACTGAATGAGGCAAAGCAAACATCCTTAGGAACAGAAGGGAGATCAGGTGACTCATATCAACCTGTTAAGTTATACCACGGCTCTGTACAAAAATAAAAATGTTCTCATAAGATTAACAATTTAAATAAATATCTAATAGAACATTCTCTCTCATTTTTTTTTATAGCTCATCTTTTGGATTGATATTCAGTTCATGCTTCCCTTGCTGTTCTTGATCCAGGATTGCGATCACTTCGTCAGCCTGTATTCGCTCCTGCAAAAAAAGACAATTCACACATTTCTGTTACAAGCGTAATAATCAGCCCAGTGGCAGATGCTTCCCAAACACTCGCAGGCATCCATCTGTACATGGGATGGATGCTAGCTCCAGTTACGGAGTGAACCCCCTCTTCCTCCCTACAGTGGGGCCTTCTCCTGCCTTCCCTATGTTCTAAGCAATTATCCTCCAAGATTTCTCTCTTGCTAAGAAGTCTTATAGAGTCAACTACTTACTGCCCTTTTTATGTTATGTTTCTAGAGACACTTCCAACTCACTTCTCCAATTCCGTGTTCAAGCTGACTTCACCATTTTCTTCCCCACAGACCTACTCTGTTCCTCTTCACACATTCCCTCTCCCAGTGCAGACCACCACTCCTCACCCATTTGCCCGAAAAGCCCAACCATAGTTTCCTGGATCTGATCAATTACTTATTTCAAACTCCTGTTTCTGCCCCTTTCTTTTCAGTGCAAATTACTGTTGCCTTAGTTTAGGCCAGGATTTCTCAACCTGGGCAATACTGACATTTTGGACCAGATAATGCTTTGCTGTGAGGGCTGTCCTGTGCATTATAGGAGGATTAGGGGCGTCCATGACCTCTACGCACTACAGGTCTCCAGCAGCAGCCGCCCCCTCCCCCCCAAGCTGTGACAACCCAAATGTCTCTGGACATTGCTCAATGTGCCTTAGGAGGCAAACCACTCTCACTTGGAAACCATGGGTTTAGGCTCTCATCATCTCTTACTTCAATTGGTACAGCAGCTTCCAAATGGGTCTGTTTCACACCCCACTCCCACAGGCCGCTAATGGAGCCCCCACACTTAAATCATGACCATGTCACTTTCCTGCTCACTGCTCACAACCCTCGTATGGGTTCCTCTTGCTTGAAGTCCAGGTCTCATCTTCATGGTGCTGTCTTGATTTAGACCATTCTCTCTTTTTTCAGCTCACCTGTCTTCTCTTCTCACCTCACCTTACACTCCAACTTCCTAACTCACCTCGAGGTCTCTGAATACAACACTCTCAGAAGAATTCCTTAGTCCTAGTCTAGGCTAAATGCCCCCTGGGGATGCTTCCATGACATCATATGCTTTCTTCTACTCTCTACATCATTCCATCCGCAGGCCCAGTTAGCCCACCTCCACATGGCATCTCAAACCTTCAGCATTTTTTCACCTTCTCTCTAACTAGGCTGGTCTAAAGCAATCTTTTGTATCCTGTAGCTCCTGGGACTGGGGGAGGCAGGGTGGGTAGGGCACATGGCTTTCCCCACGGCTAGACACAGTTCACATTTCTTAACCAGCTCGTTGGGTCTGACCCCTGCTACCTCAATGGCCTCCTTTCAGACAACTCTCCATCTTGCTTACCGCGTTCCAGCCACCCTGGCTTTCTTTGTTTCTTGACCCCTCCAAGCTCCCGCTTGTCTCTGGACCTCAGCAACCTGTTCTCTGCCTCAAATACTCTTCCCAAGACCTTTATCACAGTTGGCTTCTTCTTATCACTCAGGTGGCAACTCACATGTCACTTCTCTGGAGAGCCCTCAGTTTCCCACCCCTTCCCTTCTACTCTCAAACTAGTTACCTTGTTCTCTTTTCCACACATCATTTCTCACTATCTGAAAATCTCTCATTTATTCTTTTACTTATTTGTTGTCTGTCTTTTTCCACTGGAAGGTAAGCTCCATGAAAGCAGGGAATCTTGCTTTTTTTAATTTTATTTTTTGTCACTGCTATATTTCCAGTGCCCAGAAAAGCTACTGGCATTTGGTAAGGCCTCTATTCTATTTGATGGATAAATGTAGAAATGGATGAAGGGGTCTCTCTGTCTAACATGCCTCTCCCTAAACAAACCACGCTCATCCCCTGACACTCATGTCAAACACTGTCTCCTCAATGAAGCCTTCCTGGTTTCCTCTTTATATCCCCTGAGCACTGTGCATTTATTTGCCTCTAATAATCTTACGAACTTTGTCTTGTGTTTTAATTACTTGGGCATCTGTATTATCTCTCCACTTTGACTTCCAGCTCCCTGAAAATAGGGGTGGTGTCTTACCTAGTTTGTATACCCTATAGGTAGCCCCTAGCATAATGACCGGCACAGTAAGTTACAAGAATAAGTGCTTTACAACTTGAAAACAAAGCCCCTTTCATTCAAGAGCTTGTAACTGAAAATGCTATTGATATAAAGGCAGCTAAAAGGACTAAATATACTAAATAACAGAAAACTATCAATTGCTGTCGTGAGTAACATGCCTGAGTGTTACACTGTGAATACGGAGAGAACAACTTGCTGCTCAACAAACTGATGCAGACACAAAACATTCAGGTCTGACTCCTGCAAGAGCCTGTTGCAAGCGTGTCTCTCCTGAAGGGAAACAAGTTCAAGAGCTGGAATAATATATACAAGGAAGTGAAGCTTCTACTGTTGGGCATCCTTAAGAGTTTGTAATGCTAAATACTCCTTGAAAATTGAATTGATTTTAAAATAACCTATAACAAGCACAGAAGTTGCCAGTTCTGATGATTTATTCATAAGAAGACTTTGTTTGCTCAAGGATTCAATCTAAGAAGAGGTGCCTAACTCCAGGACTCTCAAACTTTGCTGCACATTGGAATCACCTAGGGAGCTTTTAAAACTTCTGGGGATACCCGGCACCCCATATCACTTAGACCGGAATTTCTCAGGGTGGGACCCTGATGCCAGCAGTTTGTAAAGTTCCCCAGGTGATTTCATTGTGGAGCAAAGTCTGGGAATCACGGTGTCACAGGCTAAATTTTCTCTAGTACATAGTTGCTTGAGAGGCTTTGGTCATTTTCTTCTGTGGCCACTAGATGTCGCTACTGCCCAGAGACTGGAGACGTTTCCTACTACTTGCCCTTCGGAGGAGGGGAGATTAGCATTGATGTTTCCTGGTTAGGAAGAAGCAAAGAACTTTTTTGGTGTGTTAGCTTATTTTGATAGAAAATACCTTGGAAGAGAAGGTTGGGATACTGAATAATAAAATAGATGAACTGTTTGCTGAATTGAAAACTAAAGAGAGAAAATAGTGAGGCAATTTTTCAATAAGTGGTTATCTTCAGTTAAGTAGGCTCCTTAGTACAAAACAAAAAAAAGTGTGTGCTGTGGGGCATGCTGGAATTTGCAGGTAACGAAGTACAAAGAAGAAAAGGAATTATAGGTGAAGGAGTTTGCTCCGTGCCCCCTGAAGTTTCCAGAACTCTCTGTGCTCTGTTCCCTCAGTCTGGACCATTCTTTTCTCTTTCTATGCCTGGCTAGCATATTCTTCTTTTTAAGAATAATCCTGTATGTCTTCTTTGATTCCCCCTACAGAACTCATACTGCCATCTTCTCCCTGTCTACTTCTTTGTCAACCTCTCCAAGCCCCTGGAGGTCAGGGACAATGTTTTGTTCACCCTTGTACCCCCAAGGCCTGCCTAGCAGAGTTTCCCAGGCACATAGTGGCTCTTCTGCAAACATCTGTTAAATACATGAAAGACAGCTAGAGAATGTGGCCCAAAATGCCATTTTAAAGACTAGAATTTCATAGCTTCATCAACACGCGACGCTGGAAGACACTCTGAAGTTCTCTGAAGTTAAGTCCTTGCAATGCAATTCCCATTTCAATTTCAGTATTCCATGCCTAGCAGCTCCTGAGGCTTTGACTGCAGCCACCCAGTGACAAGGAACTCACTACTTGCAAAGCAGACAATTCCATTGAACAGCGGTGGCGATTTGAAAGTTATTCCTTATATTGCGCCCAAATTTTCCTCTCAGGGACTTCAATCCATTGTTCTTTTTTTTTTCTTTAATTTTTATTGGGGAACAGTGTGTTTTTCCAGGACCAATCAGCTCCAAGCCAAGTAGTTGTTTCAATCTAGCTATGGAGGGCACAACTCAGTGGCCCATGTGGGGATTGAACCAGCAACTTTGGTGTTATGAGCACTGAGCTCTAATCAACTGAGCTAACCGTCTACCCCTCAACCCATTGTTCTTAATTCATTCCTCCACATCTTCACAGATAGAGACTATAACTTCTGCCCAAGGGCATCTAGAAGGATGAGATGATGGTCTCTTATCCAGGTTAAATGTCCTCTGCTACTTCCAATATAATAAGAACACTGTTTTACTATTTAACTTTTAATTTAATAATAACAAATAATAATGAACTTTCAGCTTCCCTCACCTTTTTCTACACGTTTCATAAATTATTCAGTGCCCTTTTTAATGATTTGTTGAGAAAATAAATCGGTCTTCCTGGTGACCTTTAAAAAGTAGTACTTCTCTCCTGATGTTACAATTTGTTAATAAAGTTCAATTGAGACTAATTAGGGCCTGCCAAATATCACTGATTTACCGACTTCTGCACACATTCACTGATAACCCATCTGATTAAGAATTGCCTTCATGCTCCCTCCTCTTTTCCTCAAACTCACACTATAAACATTAGAGGCATAATTGCTAGGTAATGGATCTGAACAGGAAAATTTGTTCTTGCTTAGAAAACAGAGCCTGCGTTAGAAACCAGAGAGAAAATATTCTGTAAAAGCTGGAAAATTTTTTTGTTGTTGTTGCTTGTTTGTTTTCCATGATCTCTGAAGTTCCTGAAATAGGTCAATAGGGCATCTGATTGGCTTTCTGGATGTGACAGAAACTCACCAATTCTCTATAAAGTGGGTCCAAGGTAAACCAGAGAGCTACAGCACACCTCTGGCCCTTGGTGACTGCCTTCACCCCATGTGGGTTCTCTCCTCCAGATGAGAAGCTGATCATACGCCCACACTTTGGTTTTATAGAGGCCTGAGAAAGAAAGCGAAAAATCAGACTCTTAATTTCTATGTTGCAAACATCTCTACAACCCTCTTTCTCTATCCTTCTATGGGATTATTTCAGTCGAGTTTTGAATCAAAGAATAATGCAATCCTGAGATTGGAGAAGACATAGATGATCTCAATCTCCTCATCTGTAAAACAAAGATAAGGTCAAAGCAACATCTAATTCAGAAAATAAAATTATTCAGGTAAAATGGCTGGCGCAGTCCGTGGCAAATAGTAATTGCTTGATACCTGCTGTGTTGATGGCCGACAAACTCTATGAAGCAAAGGCTCTATCTTTTAATTTACTTCTCTGACTCTAGCACTAGCACAGCATCTGGCATTAAGTAGATGTACAGTTAATATTTGTAGAATGACAAAAGCAAATTAAGGAGACACCTAAAGCGATGGTACATTTTTATTATTGGTCTAGGTAGTGGTTCCATGAGAGCTCCCTTTGTAATTCCTTACTTGTACATTTAGGGTTTTTGAACTTTCTGCCATATCAAGATTTTTAAAAGTCAAGTCTAATCCCCTATGAAAATTGGATTCCCATCACAATATTCCTGCCCAGTGGTCATCAGGCACTGCTTTAATACCTCCAGCCATGAGAACATGCTACCTCTTGGAGTGACACATTCAAGGGCCTCTAGGGTTGAAAAGATTGACACAGTCCTTCCAAACTTGTGCATGCCTCAGGTGGAGCTGTCCAGCAACGTTTAAGTAGAAGAGGGTAGAAGGAAAAAGGAGGCGCTGCTGGGGGCCCTGAGCCAGGGTATGGGGTCAAACTAACAGGCTCTCCAAATCAAGCGGGCATAAGCAACGGGATATTAGGGGCCTTGCTCCCATGGTTAAAGAAGTGTCTGAGGCAAGTGGAGTTCAATTTTCCTTCTTGAGAAATGTAGAAACCTTACTCATTCCATAGTAGAGCTTAGGAAAGTAAAGGCAAAAAAATAGTACCCACAATTCTATTTGATAACGTGGGTCTGCTCTAGCTAGCTATTTTCTGAATTGAGTTGATGCATGCCCTTGAAAAGAATCTTCGGTTTCCTTCACCCATAAAATGGGAAGGCTAAGTTTTTGTACTGCCAGTTCCAGGAGGAATATTTGAAAAATTTCCTGAAATCCTTAGCTGCTGCCTAACATAGGTACTCCCAGACAATGTGACCTACACGTGAAGGTTGAAGGTATATGAAGGAATCAAAAAGTCTGAGTCCCAGGGTGTGTGTGTGTGTGTGTGTGTGTGTGTGTGTTAAAGGGAGGAGCAGAGACAAGCAGTCAGTTTGTGTAACTCTTCTATTCACAATAGTAAGGACTGATTTGACTTTGCTAGAGAGTTGCTTTTCTTAAGCAGCTTTATCAAGGTGTCTTTTCTGATGTAAATCTAGAGAGTTCAGTAGTTACTGGTTCTCTCAGTATCAATCTGATTTAATTTTTCTGAAGAAGGAAATTGTACATTTCCACATACGAACAGCAAAATAAATAATACCTGACGCATATGACGCAGGATAGGAAAGCCCTCCCCGCACACATGGCGTTAGGATCTCATTTCAAGTTTTCTGGCTGCTCATTACCTCGTGCTGGTCAGGACTCACGCTCATTTAACCACACACGGCTGTCACTGCTTCTATGTGTTTGCTGGATCTTGGCAACAACATCTTACAATACTAAATTAAGGGCGTGGGGGCAACTTAACACTTTCTCTCTGATGGAACTGGAAGAATGAAAAGCATTTTTCACACAATAAGAACTTTGGAAAAGTTTAGGAAAAGAAGCCATCACTGCCAGTTGGAGCTTGTTGGAGTTGATTACAGATAGGTGTGTGGCCTCACAAAAGTCTCCGGGTGTAATCTAATCAGAGAGGGAGCCTCACCTGTTGTATATCAGGGACATGGAGGAATAAACAAACGCCACTGATGACACTGCTTCTATAGGAAAATAAGTCCTGAAGTGTAGATAAATGATGGTAAACATACTTTTGGAAACAGCTCCATAATGATTTTCGTTTTTCATGAAGCAAATGGAACTCATTAACTGCTATCTTCTTGAAACTTGCACAAAGAAACCCAAATCCCTAAATACCCATGTTTCACAAATCAATGCTGGTGTTGAAATAATCCATGAATCTTCCAAGTGGGATAAAAGAAAATTCCTTTCGCTTTCCACCTAGTGGATGATTAAACATCAGAGGAGCCTTCGTGTCGGACTTGTTTTGAATAAATGTAAACCTTCAGCCATTATTCAGTTAATGATACAATTTCCAGATTTCTCAGAAATAAAGGACTGAGCAGACTTCACCTCCTGTGCAGCCAAAATTAGGTTATTCCCGTTTCATCTGTCCCTCTAGAGCAGCGGTTCTCAACCTTCCTAATGCCGCGGACCCTTAATACAGATCCTCATGTTGTGGTGACCCCCAACCATAAAATTATTTTCGTTGCTACTCTATAACTGTAATTTTGCTACTGTTATGGATCATAATGTAAATATCTTTTGGTTTTCCGATGGTCTTAGGTGACCCCTGTGAAAGGGTCATTCGACCCCAAAGGGGTCGCGACCCACAGGTTGAGAACCACTGCTCTAGAGTCAAAGAAGAGGAAGCTGAAGAGGAAAATTATCCACTTCTCTTTGATATTGGGATTGGGTGCCTAAGAATTCTAATTATCTACAAAATCCCCTAGGAAATCTACCATATGCATTCATCTGAAGTTGAACTAATTTGGGAAAATAAATCTCCCAACTTGAAGCTTTTAAGTGAAAACATTGTTTAAATCAATTTTTCCTTTACTTTTTTTGAGGGAGGAGTGATCAGATTCGGTTATTTTTAAAAGAGTTACACCTTTCTCTTAAAATGATAGGTCTGTTAAAGGAGAAGATTGTCTGCTTTCACATCTTTAAAAAGAAGCATTCCAGTTAACTTGCATTCAACAACGAATTACTGATTCCCACAGTATTCCAGGCTCAGCTGCTTTCAAGCACTGAGCATTTCCAAATTTGGCCACAAGATGGAGTAAAAGCAAAGAAATCTTTTCAACCACCTGTGATTTTTTTTTCTTCTTTTTTTTTCTTTCCAATTAGATGAGTTGCATTTTTGAACCTCAGTGTCAGTGTTAGAAGAGCTCAGAAATCCAATCTTTTCCACACAGAAGCTCTTCAAAAACAGAGTTTTGTATAGGGATTTTACACTCCGACCAGGACCATCAATCTTGATTTTATTGCCCAGATAATGAAGCATCAAAATACTCCCACGTTAATATTTAAGCTTTTTACTAAAAAGTGTTGACATCATGGACTTTTAAATATACATTGCTATATTAAATTGCATGAAATACTATTTCTTAGTGATAACAATGTTTCTGGATAATTTAAACCAGAATCCCCATGGGTTTTCCCTTTAAACCCAGTAACATACAATTTTTGAATATCATCTGCTGATATCCCAGCGGTATGTCATGAATGATAAATGGCTGCTTCACTATTAAGAAAAAAACCTGCAAACTATGAGGAGAAAGCCATAAAACTAAGATAAGGTTTGGGAAATTGCTTATATAATGCAAAATCCTTAAAGTTTATTATATGCACGTCCCAACTATTTAGATTTTATAGGGAAGAAAGAGATTTATTTATTTATAATTTGATTATCTCCTCAATTGGAAAACCTTCTTTTCTACCTTTGGCTTGAAGACCGAAGGATACTGCCTATATGGTCTATAAATGCTCTGTAGGCTGGTTTTCCAAAGGCATCGGTTTGCTTTAGAAGATGGTGGCTAATTTAACTTTTGATTTTTATCTATGAAGGTATGTTTAGGATCTCATCCAAAGCATGCCATGTGCATACACACACACACACACACACACACACACACATACATATATATATGTACATACACACACATACATGCACATATCTATAATAATTTGAAAACTAGGAGGCTGAAGGCCAATGCTCAATCTAAGCATGTACAACACCAGGTTACTTGAAAACCAGTCTGTAGAATCATTTGACTTGTCCTAGGCTTGGGTGACTTAGGGGTTTGTGTTTTATGTTTCCATCAGATGACTTGACAGAGTCAGAAGACCAACATGTTGGTTCCACGTCTAACTTAACTAGCTATATGATGATGAGCAAATCCTTAATGTCTCTATTCTTTAATTTACCCATCTGTAACATGGACTAGAAGCTTGTTATTGATGGTTCCATTTCTAACATTTTTATGATGTATACATTTGCTGGGCCTCTTTCCACCTCTTGAATTCTCAAGCTCAGAAATATCTGAAATCCAACAGTAAGCATCCTTGGAGATGGCAGGACTGAGATGAAAAATACTAGATAAATTTGCAAGAATCGGTTTACTTACAGTCACAGTTTTGGCATCCATCTCAGTGAATATGAATTCTCCTCCCTCAAAGTCGTCATTCATATATAGGAGAGCACTGTAAGAGGAAATGGGAAACCATCTGTGCTCTTATAGCCTCACAACAACATTACCACAGGGTACTGAAGACTGGTGGGGAACTGGCAAGTCTGATTAGTAAGTTTCCTTTCAATTAGACATTGAAATAATTGACCCCCTAAACCTTAAGAGTTGGATGTAGTTTGGTTCATAAATAAATATCTCAGGGGTATTTATTTTTTTATTTTATTTTATTTTTTACTAGATTACCACCTTATTACAAAGGATATTAAAGGATGCACATCAACAGCCAGATGAAGAGATACATGGGCCAAAGTCCTAAATAAAGGAGCTTCTGTCCCTGTGGAGTTTGGGGCCTAACATGGTGGCACATGGAAGTGTTCTGGTACCCCAGCATGGAAGCCCCTTGAACCCTCTTCTTTTGGGTTTCTTGGAAGCTTCATTAGGTAAGTATGATTGATGAACTCACTGGCCACTGGAGATTGATTCAGGGGTATTTATTTATTCCACCTACATTAAGCTTTTAATTGTAGTTCAAAGCTCATCTCATATGTCACTTCCTTAAGAGAAAACCTAACTAGACTTAACCTACACCTTTGAACCTGCTCACACTACTTAATGACTCTCTTCTTCCCTTTTATATTAATAGTAACTCTAATGAATGTGTTTTTTCCCTAACTGGCTGGAGAGCTCCAATGAGCATAACCTACCTTTGCAGATAGAGGGCGCTCAGTAAATGTTTCTGTATAGAACACAGAGTGGTAATAATTAACACACTAGTATATACATGGTGACTACAACTCCTGACTCATCTCTTTACACAGTAAAATATCTTTCAATAAAACACTTTTTCCTCCCGCGTTAGCATTTTCTTATTTATAAAATGCAGACACAGATAAGTGATGTAATGAGATTTCCATGCATGTTGAGACACATCTCCCTGTGTTGTCAAGCTGAGATACACACTCTACAGGGGATATGCTTCAGTGAAAGTTACGTCATCATTTTTTTTAAAGTATATGTATATATATAAACTTTGCTTTTATATGAAAACAAAATGAACATTTTGTGAAATAGGCTACAACAAAACATGCTAGTAATTTTAAGATAAAAATATGAGATGATAAAGTCGCTTCCCAGTCGTGGCAGCCGCAAAACATGACTTGAGAATCTGCTTTGTAGAGATGACTGTGGTGACAAGCAAAACAGATCGGCTTTCTAGTTTCCATGGGTTTCTGGTAAGTGTTGGGCAGAAGCTTGGTTGGAAAGCAGGTGCTGACTGTACCTATAGTCTCGGAACGTGTAAGCTGGAGGCTCCTTCCAGCACTCATTGGCCTCTGGGTCCAACAGGCAGTTGTCAGCATGGATGGGATGACTGAGGTCATTTCTTCTATCCTGTTGACCTGTCGGAAAAGGGAACAGGGACGAATGAGAGCAGAAGTCCAGCAACCTCCATCAGCAAACCTGACAATCTGACGGTCCCCTCCCTTTGCTGGCGCCCCTTGCACATTTGAGGAGGCAGAAATCGGAGCCTGATAGATGAAAGAACACGAGATGAGCAGTCAGGAGGCTGGCCATGCTGTGACAGGAATTTGATGCAAAAACGTGGGCAAGTCACACCTGCCGCTTCGGCTTTAAGAGTTATCTGATATAAATAGACATATAGACATTCCATGCATTTCATGGGCTGTACTTCCTGTGGAGCAGTAAGAGGAGGTGGATGAAAGGAATATGTTAAAAGAAAAAAAAAAAAAGATTTGATTCAGCTGAAACTTCCCAAGTGTAAAAGTCTTGTCCTGTGACATTATCCCTCCCCTCTCGCTCAAGAGGGTATAGAAGACAACATCCAGAGAAGAAATAAAGACAGCAGGGAGTGAGGGGGCTCTGACTTTTAAAAACATTTCTTTCAACAAGCCCTTCATTTCCTATGCTTCCACTCAGTGACTGCGGACATAACAGGAGACTGTAATTTCTAGGTTCCTGGTGTCCTGAAAAGTGAAACCTAAAGTAAAAGAAGCATTGTGTGTGTGTGACTTAAGAAAGTAGGAGAAACAGATTTGAAAGGGAAAATAGGCCAAATGATGCTCTGCCGGTATTTTAAGGGACCCAAAAGGAGAAAAAGAAGAAAGGGGAAATAAGAAGAAGCGTCTTTTGTTTTAGAAGTTTGGAATTCTTTCAAACCATCAGCCTAACATGTAATAGAATTTTGTTTTGCATTGTTTTCTTTCTTCTCTCACTGTGGGTTGGAAGGAAGAAGTTCATGCTCTGGAATCTCACCGGACAGGGCTGTTCGGCAGACCATGTGGGTATAGGAAAAATACAGGGTTGAATTCAGCATGAAATAGGATTCTACGATCTTCCGAGCCTTCTCGCTGATGTCGTAAAACAGACGGGCACTCTTCAGTGGGACTCGGCCTTCGTAACCAAACTGAGAAAAAGGAGAACATAAGATGCCACTTGATTGGAGGGCTTTAGAAAAACAGACTCTATGTTTCAGTTAAGCCAGTACAGGCGGTCATCTCTGCATTGGCTAGTGGGAACACTACTATATACTTGTGGATTTTGTTGAGGAAAATAGGCCATTGAGGGTCCGGCCAGGTGGCTCAGTTGGTTAAGAGCTTAAGAGTGCAAGCTCTGAGCAACAGGGCCACCAGTTTGATTCCCACATGGGCCAGTGAGCTGCGCCTGAGCTGAGCTACCACTGAGCTGCCAATGGGTGGCAGGATGGCTCAGCTGGGAGAGCATGTGCTCCTAACAACAAGACTGCCTGTTCGATGGTAGTCTATGCCCACCCACAGCTAAGACTGAACTTGGCACCGTGAACTGAGCTGCCGCCCGGATGGCTGAGTGGATAGAGCATGCACTCTTAACAACAAGTCTGCTGGTTCGAGTCCCACATGGGATGGTAGCTACGTCCACCCGCAACTAAGATTGTAACAGAGCACCTTGAGCTTAGAGGCCACGAGCTGCCGACAGGCAGCCAGATGGCAAATGGCGCCCTCCACAACTAGGATTGAAGAGCAACAACTTGGTTGGTCCCCCTCCCCAATTCTCCAACACTGTTCCCCTCCCCCAATTCCCCAATTTTTTTTTTAAGGCCATTGAATAAGCCCTTCCTAATCATTGAGGAAACCTTAAAAGCTAATCACTCCCTCTCCTCTTCTCTCATAACACTCCCCTCATTCCTCTCTAATAACACTTTCTATAATACAGAATAATTTCTTGTTCGGATATGTTTTCGCCATGGGATCATGAGCTCCTTGAGAATAGGGGGTGCTGTATATTATTTGTCAGATAAAAATTTAGGGCATATTGAGTCTGATAAACTGATGACTGAGTGGAGGAATGAAGAAAAGATTAAAAACAGTGAAGGTGCCATTTCATGCTTGCTCCCTTCGAGAGTCCTGATAGGACGATACTCGTATTCCAAGTTCTTCTCTGTCCTGTTTCTGCCACTCCCAGATGGTCTTGGATTAACACTTAGGAACCCAAACCCAAAAAACGTTAAAGCTTTACTTTGAGTGCTTTCAGAACAGTTGCGCCTTCAAATTTTTCATTGGGTGTATGGGGTGAAGTTTTTCCTCTGTATCCATCACCAACAAGCATGATTCCCTGGAAGCAAAGTACAAGAAGATGCCTTTACAAGAACTATGAATTCATCAGGTCTCCCTTTCTGCCTTGCTGGCCAGAAAGCTAAGAACCAAAGCAATTCTCAGCATCATCCCCAGTTTGATTCAGGACCCTGGTATCATTAATTTCTAATCAAAAGCGGTATATTTATTTACACTACATTTTCATTATAAAAATAATACCACTATTTATATAAATAGGTAGACTATAAACAATTCACATATTGGTTAATTACTGATTAAAATAAAGGGATTTTGTCACAGCTTTACATGGTTGTCATGGCACATACTGGATGGTTTTTGTCCTAGGAATTAAGCCACTAACTATTCCAGATCCATTAGCTAGATCCAGATCTGGACACAACTAATGTCATCCCAACCCAAAGGCTATGGAAGAGCCTCCACAACCAATGTCCTTTTCCTAAAGAAAGTGACATCTCAGACCCGGTTGTCTGGCTCCAAGCAAGACCAGAACCACAGCATTTGTGGGGTCCCACCAGGCGAGCACCGTCAGGCCCCCGCCCTCTCTGCATCCTCACACTGGCCACACTGTGGAGCTCCCGGCACTGCTCTTCTGATAGGACATTGTCCAGGAGAACCCTCTGAGTCCCGTTCAGCTGCTCCGAGTTATAGACAAACGTGATGTTCTCGTAGAGCAGAGGGCCACCTGAAGGGACACAGACATTGTTTTCTCTGTTACCTCTGTCCCCAAGGGGGGAAGCACAGAACCCCCAACAGCTTTCCATGTACCATTCAGGAGAGTTGGTTTCCCCAGCAATAGTTAGGAATGAGAAGACAAATGACAAATTTGGACACTTGATAAACACAATATGGCTTCAGGAACAAGGCAGATGTCTGAATGCCAGGCTTGTCTAAAATGCCATGATAACACATTACATTTGTATAGCATCTCGGCCTTGATAAACTCTCTTTTCATTTGATTCCAGTGATGATCTTACAAAGCAGACTGGACATCTCACAGGATTCTCCTGAGAAGACTGCAGAATTCTCTTGGCAATTGGACCCAGCCCTCTCCACAGCTGTCGGTCCATACCTCTGTTATATGCAATGACTTGATTACATGCCTGCGTCCCCAGGCATGCCACACACATTGCAGTTTCACAGGTATGTAGAGCAATGCCTTCACCAGCAAATGCAGGTAATAAATGCACCATCAGGACAGTCACACCCAAGCTACTCCACTCCTTCCTAGCTTCTTCCCACCACCCACCTGAATCTGCATGGCCTTGCTTTTGGAATATTTATTCTTCTCTGCTCTCTGGGTAAATCTTTATATTGTTTTCTTTGCACAGGAGGGTTTCCTGTAGGCACCTGCTCTCTCCCTGGATAGAGTTCATGGATTTATGCAGTTAGCCCCACACAGGCTCTTCAGAGAATGATGCCTTTGGGCCATGTTGTAGGAGGTGAGAAATTATAGTCTAGACCTGACAAAACTTCCTTACAGAAAGTAGGATTGAAGGACAAAAACCTCTGACAGTGAAGAAATTTTTCAGATGTAATAGAGGGTAACCATCTTGAACCAGAAAAGTGAACAAAACAAACAAACAGCAATAACCAAAAACCCAACTGTTTTTCTACTCTTGAAAATCCTCCTAAGGGACCTGGTATGTTCCTGCGAATAACAACAGCTCAGCCTGGAGGGAGCGGTGCGGATGGCACACTGCCCCCTTCTTCCCCACAGTAGGAACGCACTGGTCTAAAACATGTCTGTTGAAGGAGAAAGAGACAATTGAAAGCGTTGTCTACTCAATCTCTTTAAAACAGATTAGACAAATTAAGAAGCAGCAAGCACTAAGTGCTTATTAGTCTAGTTAGAATAAAAGAGTCACTACAGCCCAGAATTAATAGAATATGAAAATAACGAGATGGTGTTTCTCAGTCTTGAGTAATATATGGTTATCTGTGAAAACAAAAGTTCCCTAAGAAGTTGAAGTGCTGACAAATTATTTTTACTGTAATTTTGCTTCCATATTTGCAACTATAAAATTCCAAATACAGTATTTATTTTATTGTTTCATATAGCTATAATGCCAAAAACAATTTACAAGACTAACTAAAAGCAAGACCATAAAACCAAATATATCCAATTAACAATATTGATGAAATGGTTAATGTTATTTTGCAGAAATTAAAAAGCTACATTTCACATGAATATTCTACTAACGGCTTTGGCCCAGGTTCTCTGAGCTAGCATTCCTTCTAGTACTTTTGGTATATAATGACTCGTTTATTCTACCACAAATTTTCTCTATTAAAACTACTACAAAATCTTAGTGTACCATGATGAATTCTGGCCTTCATCTGGCCTTAATACATTATTTATAAGTTCCTCCTACTTTATTTCTTATTAGTCTTCAACCATTGAAGTATTAATTGGTACCAATGTGATGGTGTCTGCACCCATACCCACTGAGGTATGAAATCTCATGGCAGTACTTGGATATAAGGTGGTTATTCAGATGACTCGCTAGTTGTCCCTCTTAATACTTTAAAATTGTAATTAAAATTTATAAATACAAATATCTTGGATTCCAGGAATATGCCCACAAGCTCCCAATTTCAGTACTAGTCTTTTGGATGAATTCAATGTTTCTCAAACTTTGTTCTAAAGAAAAAAAATTAATGAAAAAAGAGTTTCTTGACCAAATGTGTTTGGAAAGTACTGGGTTAAACAAAATTTAAGAGGACTTCTTAGAACTTTTAATATGTAAACTGGCATTATGAACATCCAAGTATGGATATGATATGTAGCAGTTCCCACCCTTAATTGAGCACAGTATTCTCCCTTTTTTCTTTTTTTCCTTTCCACCCTCCCTTCATTCCCCCCCCTTCCTTCCTTCGAATGGCAGAGATACTCTAAGATGCACATTAATGATCACTGCTTCCTGGTATTCATAGGCTTATACAATTTGCTTCCCTCAAGTGTGGGCAGTGCCTAAATCTTGCTTCTAATCAACAGAATATGGAAAAGGTAATGGGATGTCATTTATGTGATTGCATTACATAATACTACAACTTCTATCTTGCTAACAGACTCAGTCTATTGCCTTCTAAGTTTGCAGTTTGATGCAGCATGTGGTTGTATTAGACAAGCTAACATGGCAAGGACTTGGGTGTGTCCACCAGCCAACAACCAACTAGGACATAGGGACCGCAGTCTAATAAGCTTTTAGGAACCAAATTCTGTGGTCTGAGCTTGCAAGAAGATAATTCCTTAGTGAAGCCTTAGAAGAGACCCCAGCCCTTGATCAACGCCTTGATGGAAGCCTTGTGACAGGCCCTGAAGAAATGGACCCAGCTAAGCTATCCACAGACTCCTGACCCACAGAAATTGTGAAATAGTAAATGTATGTTACTGCAAGCTGCTACATTTGTGCCATGTTTTTCATAGCAATAAAAAAATATAATAAACTTTTGCTCCCCACCATGGAACCTCTTAACATAAAAACATAGTTTGCTTGGGAAAGGTTGATCTAATCTATATAATTGATTAAGATTCATAGCCAAATTGAGCCAATTCATTTTAATATTTGGAAAAGTCAATTACATATTCCACTCCCATTTAGAAATATAAAAATAGATTTTCCTTCAACAAGAAAGACAAGATACTCATAGGTTCACTGAAAAGCATTTTCTAATATAAAACTCAAGTAGAAATGGAAAACAGATCAAGAGTTTAGGGAACTAGGTTGCTTTGTACTTTGCCATGTTTTTCTCATTTTCTATATTGAGAATGTATTATTTTTAAACATAATAAGCTTATTTTTAAAATGTGACTTTAAAAGTTACTAAAACTTATAAAACATTTAGAACAATGCCTACGATTCTTAAGCTCTGTATAAATGTTTGCTATTATTATCATGATGATTGTTATATTAGTAAACTATGCCTGATAGATTGTGTTAAGTTCTGACTGAGAAAACTTTTTTTTTTTTTTTTAGCTGAGCCATCCTGCCACCTGTTGGCAGCTCAGCAGCAGCTCAGCTCGGGCCAGGACTCGAACCACTGTTGCTCAGAGCGCCCACTCTCGGGCAAGCTCTTAACCAACTGAGCCACTCCGCTGGCCCCCTGACTGAGACATCTTAAGCATAATGGAATATATTTAAAACAGGGCTATTGAGATATCAATAATTCCCCTAACCATGCCATAAGTAACACACAAAGATCAGGTGAAGGAACAGAATGCAAATGGAGTCTTAAATACCTAAACCCTAAAAGGTTAAGGCAGAATATATACTAGAAATCTGCCTTTCATATAGCTGACACAATCACGGCTAAGCATAGAGTCGTATACAGAGGTTTCCCACACATACATTTAACAAAAATCAACCAACTACCCACTCACTAACCAAAAGGAAAAAAAAAAAAAAAAGAAAGTAAAAGAAACCCGGCATGCCATTCAAAAATGCAAGTTGGCCAGTCTACCAATGACTAGTAGCACACCAGACAGAGAAAAACATTAAAATAAAATTAAAATGTAGTCCAATAAGTTGTGGTTCCTGGGGCCTGATTTGTTAGCTTCAGCCAACTCTTAACCACAGCCCAAGGAGATTTGGTTAAACAACTTAATTCTTCTCTCATTCACAAAGTATGTGCCTGGGTCTCACTCTCTAGTCGCAATAGAGGGATCATCTGGGAAAAGTCTCCCTTGTGTTCACTGCCTATGGCTCACGGCAAGAAGAATCATTTTACCATAAATATCGCACTGTCATATAGTCAGGACGTGGGTGTGCTGACTAACAAGCCTGTATGTGAGCGCAGCCCTTTGAAGTTTACAAAAGACTGTTCACATTCCACATTCATCTTCTCCAAAAGCTGCTATCCTTATTTTCCAGATGAGGACCACAGGCCCCTGAGAGGTTGAGTCTCTAGTTATCTATCACTGCAGAGCACATTCGATTAAGACAATCCAGGAAACCTGGCCTCCTGATTCCAAGTTCAAAGTTATTTCTACTATCCCCTCACTGACTCTGGGATTATTATCAAGCAGGACCTTACGAAAACTGGTGGTTGAAAGGAGAATGGATAAGTGACAGATGTTTTTAGGGAGTTGACATGCATGTTCCACGGACTGAAGTCACCCTGAGCGCCACTCCCATCTTAATGCTTGGGAGCCATCCAATATGAATACAACTAACTACTGTTAGGTAAACAGAGTAGGTGACAGTATCTTTGTGGAAAATGAGAGAAGCTGAAATACATTCTAGTCTATGAGGCATGCATCCTTTCTTGTTTCCCTGACATCTGATTTCAGCCAGATTAAGATAGGAAAGTGTTTTCTGATTGGGAACTTGGCCTCTACCACTACCCTTAATTCAGACACTATTTAGATCTCTAGTTGACTGTACAGAAGGCTTTTCAGTGGATTCCCAGAGAATGTCCTAAGTTCCATTGGCCCATCCAACTAAACAAATTCTGCAGGCATGATAGAATTTGGCAACCCAGCCAATCGTGATCTTTCTCCATCCTGTGTGTCTTCTGTTCTACAATTCCTATTAATCTTCCTAGTCAGTTGCTGGACATCAGATTCCCTGGTAGCCAGGAAAAAAAAAGTGCTTTGAAATTTGGCAACTGTCCTGGAGTTTCCCAAGCCTTTATAGCAAAGTGTTGGCGGATTGTCATGTACTTCCTGGGTGACTTCTCAGCTTAAAAAGCAACATGAACTCTGGCTGACCATGAAGCTCTCTGGCACATGTAAAACAGCTTGGGCTTTGTGGCTACAAACTGGGGTCCAGGTCAGATTAGATAAGCGTGTTATCCTGTTTACTTCCTCAAACTGACTTGGAAGCTAAGGAAGGAAAGGGCTGGGAAATGTGAGAGCCAGAGAAGGCCAATAGTTTTCAAATCCACTAGAGGAATGTGCTGACAAGCTTCTTGTTGGGGAAAGGAGTACTGTATTGGACTTCTCAACGCATGTTTTTAATAACCTCTTCTTATCTTGCAATTATTTAATCAATAGGGGACATTCTGGATATCTAGCCATTTCTATGTTTCATCATCAGGGGGAGAAGAGAAAATGGGGTTTGGATTCAAAAGCCTGGGTTCAAATGCCTGCTTGATATATTATGAGCTGTGAGACTTTGGACCAGTCACCAAATCTCTGAGTCTCATTATTCTTACCTGTGAAGTGGGGATACTTTTCTCACGTGAAATGCTGCCAGTATTAAAATGAATTGTGTGTAAATTTGCTTGAAAAATGATAAACTTAGAAATAATAATTGTCTTCTGCAATTAGTACCACTATTGCTATTAATTTATTATTATAACAAAGTTTGGCTTTATTTAAAAACTAATTTTGGTAACTCTCCAACTCTGTTTCTGCTAATTTTGATCTTACATAAGCAGGCATATACATGTTCTGCTCTCTCTACCTCTGTGCCTTTGTTCTATTTGTTTTATCCATTACAATGGCTCCCTCCTCATCTCTGTCAATTCAACCTAAATTCCACTTATCTCTTATAGCCCTCCTCAGATATATGTGCCTCAAGCATGTTAGATTAACTAATCTAATATCCCATGTGACCTGTCTCTTCCAGTTCCTCTGATAAGCAGTCTATTCCACACTATCTAGCCTTCACTCACTATGTGACAGAAGTAAGCCATGTGACCTCTCTATACCTCAGGTAGTCAAATGAGGATGGTGATGATTATACAGTCCCTGCCTGGCTCATAAGATTCCTGTGGAAAACAGATGAAGGAGTGAATCTGGAAGCCCATTTCTTGGGAACCAAAGGTAATGATACACAAAATTCTCATTTTTAAGCCTTGCTTTCAGAATATCATGAATTGTAATAGCTTAGTTCTTTTATTTCCAGAAAAAGTGGGTTCTGCCTTGATCTGAATAAGAACTGGTCAATCACATCCTCTCCTTCCCCTCCTTCTAAGAGTAAAGGCGCACAGACACTTACCCTCTCTTAGGTCCCGGTCTATCTTGGGTGATGATTTTTTCCCCACAAACAAGCCATGAATTTCTGCTCCCTCCATGTTCACTCCTGAAGGGACACTGCTCATTCAAGAAAAGTTGAAATAGCAATTTCTCAGTGAATAAAGATGTTCAAAGGCAAAGGATACCTTACCCAGGTAGTCTATGACTCCACATGGTATATTTTTGTTGGACACAAATCTGCCTATTTTCAAGATCAAATTAAATGTCACTGCCTTCATGAAGTTCTCTGTTTCATCAATGAGTGTGCTCTATTTCACTTCCCTAAATCTTCTTAACAACTTTTATTACAGGTAATTATGTCCACAACTTAACCCCTTAAGATTAGACTTTGAATTCCAACAGAGCAGGAAAAAGTTATCATGTGCATCTCTTTGTAATCCTCAGAGTATTGTAGTATGTCTTGAACATAGAGCATTCATCACTAAACAATGGTTGAATTGAAATAAATCTTGTCCTAATATAATGGTTCTTGATTATTCTGAGAAAGAAGACACAAGTTTGTGTCAAACTTTGCAAACACACAAGTAATAGCATGATTTTCTTTCAATATACACAGATTGAACAAATCCAAATGTGCATATGCATTCTTGGATCTCTTGCAATAGTTCTAGGCCATGCTGAGATTGAGTCCTTGAAGTCTAGTGAAAGACCACAAGACTTTGAAGAAGATCTAGACCTGCCTAAGAGACTCTAAGAGAGTCCTTCGCCTTGTCAGGGCCTGTTTTTGAGTTTGAAAATGAATTGGCGAGTCCATGTGATATCAGACACGTAACTCTAACATTCTATGATTCCTCAAACTGCTCATAACAGGTAAATTGACTTTTGACTTCCATCATTTCAAAAAATGAGTTATCTTCCTTTCTGATTGAGTCACTGACACCCAATGTTTTAGCTGGTAGTCAAACTTTCTGAGCTTCTTGTTTTCAAATAAACACAGTAAGGGTATTCAGCATTGACAAGAAAATGTCATAGTTTTATTCTACTAATAAATCAAACACAGCATTCACTTTTCTCTGCTTTAGAATCACAGAAGGTTTAGTCCTCAGAGATTACCTCATCAAACTCCTTAATTTGAAGAAAATCATGAGACCCAGAGAGAAAAATAAATTACTCAAGGTTACAGAGAAGTGACAGGAACAACTGAGACCAGGATCCAGCGCTCCTAATTCCCAGTTTGGTACTCTTTTAATTATATGTTTTTGCCTATTCACAGAGCTAGGTTCCTTATAATAGGTCTGACTCTAAATATTTCTTCTCACTAGAAATAAACAGTTGACATACAATATTATATTAGTTTCAGGTGTATAACATAGTGATTAGACATAAAACTTATGAAGTGATTACCCTGATAAGTCTAGTACCCATTGACACTATACATAGTTATTACAATATTATTGACTACCTTATTTTGCCATGTATAATGTGTACTTATTTGCCCAAATCTGTGAGGGAAAAATAAGGATGTGCATTATACATGGGTAGTACTAATTCTGTATCTATATAAATGTGTTTAATTATTTTATTTATGCTTAGGAGTTAAAAGGGTAACTCCAGAAATCAATAATGATACAAAATAATACCCTGGAATACAATGATCAGCTTTATTGAACTTACGATGAACTTGCAACAAGGCAGAGCTCTTGGCCTTCTATGATTCTTAAATATTGTAAATTTGTTTTGGGTACATAAAATTTCTTGTACCTTTTATTTGTTCTTGGTGTTTTGTAATTATTTGTTACATAAAATTTCTTGTAAAATAATTTTAAAAAAATAAATGCCAAAATTTCTTTATAATACAAAAATACAAGTCCCTAAATGTAAACAAATAAAAATTTGAATTAAAAAATGAAAATAAAAGATTTTTTTTTTCCTGAAAGTTTGGGCTAAAAATGTGCGTGCACATTATGCATAGAAGTGCATTATACATGGCAAAATATGGTATATTTTCTGTGCTGTATTTTACATCTCCATGACTGTTTTTATAACTGGCAATTTGTACATCCTTAATCCCTTCCCTTTTTCACCCATTCCTCCAACCCCTCTCCCATCTGACAACCTTAACTGAAAATTCAATTAAAAAAAATAATAAATTGTATGCCTTTGAAAAAAATTAAAAAATAAACATTTGGTGTTGTGAATGGACAACTCACCGATTCTCATCCTGTCGTCCTCCATATCGGATCCAATAATTCTGTTTTTAATTAAAAAACAAACAAACAGTTTTAGTACTAAAGCATAAGTTACAGAAATAAAACACCCTTAAAACACTCAAAAGACCTAAAATGTTAGGAAACTTGCATATTATGTAAAAATACATTTTTTTTAATTTTAAAAAATAAAAACACTAAAGTTGATACAATTTTGACAAAGACAAAATGATGCACAAGTAGATTTTGTAAAAACAGCATGGAATTACACTGGGTATCCAATCTTTTATCCAAGACAGTGATTTAGAATTTGGAGGCAGGAAGATATTTAAAAGATCATTCAATCTAACTCTTTTATGCTTTATGAATAAAACAAAGAAACACAAAAGCCCAGCTTGATTAACCATTTCTACAGGATAATAAAGTGACTAAGTGATTTTTTTTCTGGGGGTCTCTTGGGATAACACAGTTTTGAAAACAAAAGAAAAATCATAAGTAGGACCAGATAAAAACTCTTAGGAATGTTACATTAGAATTGGTATATTAAAATTATCCTAATTTTTTAAATATGCAAATAAAACATGATATAACTATGACAGAAATAAAAAAATAAACATACTTTTTTAGGGCATTTACACATAATGCTTTTTATAAACATATGACATGTAAATTACATGAAGAATGTATATAGTAACAAACAGATAAATGAACAAAAAGTATGTCCAGATAATTCAAATTAGAGGGAAAATATGAATAAAAGTAATTTAAAAAAATTAAATAAAAATAATTAAAAATGAAAAATTTATTTCTGCTGGTTAAAAGAAATACAGATTAAAGCAATAATGATGTACAATTTTGTACATGATTGATACGAGTGATTTTAAAATGTTATTTCTCATTGCTGAGATGTTTGTAGTAAACTAGTACTTTGATGCATTGCTAGGAGCAGTAAAGGTGTCAGAAAACTCTTAGAAAAGCAATTTCTAGAACTTTAAAATATCTCATATCCTTTGATGGCAGAGTAATCCCATTCTGGAAATTTGTTCAAATGATATAGTTCAACAGAGGAAAAATGCATAATGCATTAAGTATAACACAAAACAAATCAAACAAATCAAATGTTCAGCATCAGGAGAAGAGTTTATTATACATCAACTCTATTATATGTATTAGCTAAAATAATTTTAGAAGCTGTAAAAATATAGCAATTTCTTATGATTTCTTAAATAAAAATCAAAACAGAAATCTATCTATACCATAGTACTAGTTCGGCCAAAGGTATGTCTTCATATGAAGAATGATGAAAAAGACAACATGAGCAAGTAAAGAAAAGTCAATACGTTGGGTAGTACAATTTTGTTTGATATTATTCTTTTTGAAGTCTTTTTAATGTTTAAAGTGTTTAAGAGAAATGTTTAAAAAAATACAAAATATTGCATCCAGAATTTAGGAAATAAAACACACCTGAGACAAATGCACTATGTACAAAATACTTCTACCCAAATATATTTGCTTTTGACTTTGGATCTCATTGATATGAAAATCTATTAAAGTCTTTCAAAGTTTATCACATATATTGAGTAAATAACTCCCTCTACCTCCCCAGGTTTTATTAACTTAAAGCAGGGAATTAGAACCTTCAACAAATGGGGCTGGGAAATAAAATCATAAATAAATGTCCACTGAATCGTTCTTTTAAAAAACATTTCCTCTTTCCCCTTTGTTCTTACCGGTTCAGTGTATGAAAATCCCAGCCCCTCTGCAGCTGATTTTATTAGTTCTGATTCCAGCTTATGACGCTTCATAAACATTGTCAAATCCTAGAGAAAAAAAATAAGAGAAAAATGTATATTTAAATAGCAGTTAAAGGATATGATAAATGTTCCAATGGAAATAGTTTTCATTAGACAGTGACAAATAAGAAAAAAAAAACATATTCAGAGTTGCAAAAATTGTCTTTATCTCAACAGATTTTTACAAGGTAGCACATCTGAGAAACATATGCTTCTGGCATTAATAATTAAAGTTAGAAAGAATTAAGTTCTAGAACCTTTATTAAATTGTTAGACATATTTAAGAGCAGTGTTTTATTTTTCTCAACTCTCCCCAGAACACCTAAGCAGAATGCAGAATTTCTTCTCAACACATTGGTCTCACCTCTCTGGCCTCGATGAATGCCAGTTCAGTGCTGTCATCCAACAGACTCTCGTAGTAATCCACATTGTCTAGGACGTCCTCATCGTCTGGATGGAGGAGAAGATAGGCTTTGGCACACTCCAAGGCTTTCACATATTCACCAACTGAAAGATGGAGGAGTTGCAGCATTAGAGTCAGCCTAGGTCTGTCTAAAGAATTTTTAAGTGACACGTCAAAATATCAGTGAGAGGTCAGCATTAAATCTCAAGAGGAGGCAAGATAAGGTGAGGCAGAGTAATCAGAAATAGTGGCAGGTTAAAGGAAGGACACGATTTCAGGTATTCCAAAGGTACTACTTTTGGTTTGCTTTGGTGCTAGATGTTTTGCATAAATTATTCAAAGTTTCCACCTAAAGATGTTTGTTGACAACCTATATTATTTAATACAGGTAAACAGAGTAGAATTTTAGGAGTTAATTCTGATTTTTGTATTGAGTTTGACAACATGATAACTAAGACCAATTTCAGTAATCCAAATTCTAGTCATTGCTTTTAAAGATTAGAAACGATGTTCAGTCTCTCAGTTTCTTAATAAGATAAATGGAAATTAAAACTATACTGAGATATCAATTTTTACCTAACAGATTGGGGAATATCTGAAAATTTGATAATGCATTCTGTTGATGAGCCATGAAAAATGATGAGCAATGAAAAATGGAGAAAAAATTGGCAACATTTATCAAAATCACAAATGAAGAAACCATTTGACACAGAAATTTATCCTATTCAGCGGTTCTCAACCTGTGGGTCGCGACCCCTTTGGGGGTTGAAAGACCCTTTCACAGAGGTCGCCTAAGACCATCGGAAAACAAAAAGATATTTACATTACGAGTCATAAGAGTAGCAAAATTACAGTTATAGAGTAGCAACAAAAAGAATTTTATGGTTGGGGGTCACCACAACATGAGGAACTAACTGTATTAAGGGGTCGTGGCATTAGGAAGGTTGAGAACCGCTGCTATAGATATTTATGTGCAAATGTGAAATGACATATGTAAAATGTTATTCATTTAATCATTGATTATCCCAGCAAAAGATTATAAACAACACAATGTTTATCAGTAAGGAGTCACATAAAATAAATTATACTACAATACTATGCAAATGTAAAGAAAAATTAAGGAGAAAGATCTCTATGTACTCATATAATTAGGTTGAACCCTACAAAATTACCCAAATTTGACCTAAGCAAATGGCAATTTCCCAGATCTAACGTACTAAAAATAAATCTTATATATTATTAAGTGAAGAAAACAATGCAGAGAACAGCACAGAAAATATGCTAACTTCTTTGTATAAAAGGGGGGAAATAAGTCAATGTGTGTGTGTGTGTGTGTGTGTGTGTGTGTGTGTGTGTTGTGTCTATATAAAATTTTTGGAGGGATAAATAAGAAATTGAGTTGTAGGGCATGAACTTGGGTTGTGGGGAAAAGGAAGAGAGAGGTTTTTTTATGATATTTGTTCTTTGAACCTGTGAATATATTACCTTTCAAATTAAGTTGGAAAAATTAAATTAAAAAAATCATATAAAATGTCAGTCTAGTATAATTTTCAGGACACGATCCCAGCATTTTCCCACTTGTAATTTCACCTTCTGCTCATCTTGTCCTGAGCTGCAGTGATGGGAGATGAGACAGAAATTCTCTAACGACGAGCAACACTGCCCCTCCCCAAAAGGTTTTCACGGATTACCCACGCTTTACCTCGATAATAAGCAAACTGTAGGTAGTCATAATGCAGGGGAAGAAAATTCTCAATCGGTGAGAGGCGGCCAGGGCGGGTGGCAAGTTCCCTCACACATTCATGCTGACAAACCAGCACCTGCATGTAATGATCTGGAAGACAGGAGGTGACAAGTGGGTCCCTGGACTCTGCCCAAGGTCCAAGCTTCAGTCAGGGCCACAGTTACACAGGCCACGCCTCACCTCACCACACTATGAGAATGCTATCAATATTATCCTCACTTCATGGCCAGAAATCCTTTGCACAAAGAAAGTTAAACGACTTGCCATGGACTCCTAATTGGTGATCACTAGAGTAATTAAGAGCAGAATCCCAATCTTTCGGCTCCTGATTTTTTCTCTGTACTGTACTCTTCTTTTCCTTGTTTCTACATCTCCTGAGAGTAACATAGGCCATCTCACCCCACTTGCAAATAGATGAATAGCTGACTTTCTTATATTTAGCAACCTCAGGGCCACTCTTTGGATATTTAGATAGCCTGGGGCGTCCCGGCGTCAGGATCAGACATTCAGATCTGGGTTACCTTGAGAACCAGTTGAGAGGAAGGGACTGCCCTGCCTGAGGGGAGTTCATTGCAGAGAAATAAAGCAGCATGCTCTTTCTGCTTGGTAACATTTTCAAGCAACTTTTCTTAAAAAGGAAATAAAAATATTATTTTGCCTCTATTGACTAGGAACCTATTCTATCCAGATACAAATTAGACCATCACCTGAGCATTGTAAATCCTAATATCCTAGGGACTGTTAGATAGGAGAAGGATAGAAGCTAAAGAATTTGAATAAGCACGTTGCTTCTTTGTCTTTTATTCTCCTTTCTTTGTTCCTATTCTTCTTGCTTGCAAAGTGGCCAAGATCTGAAAGCATAGGGGTTTCATGCTCCCTTTAGCTCTGGGCTCTACCTCATCCAAGCACAAGCTGAGGGAACACAGTGGCTAATGCACCAGAGGAAAAAAGTACTTCCTACGTTTTTCCTCAGCTTTGATTTTTATAATGAAGATGGAGGTAGTCTTTTGCAGAAAGAGAAAAGTTCATTCATGCTTGTGCTGAGTGAGTGGGTTCCCTTGAGAATGATGATAAAACCATCTAACTTCATGACTGTACAATTTAGTTTACCACAACTGCCTCCTTTCAAAAGGTTCTCTGTTAGGCAGAGTTCAGCTTGTATGTGGATAACCTTGAAGACAGATCCCAAAACACAGCAGGAAGCAAATATAAATTTTTTGTTGTGAAGGAAAATGTGTTAATTTTCTTATAGCCTGGCCAAGTCAATCCCATATAACACAGCTAGGAGAATCCCTACAGTCCACTGGTTCTTAACTCTAGTTGAGGGAATGTGAGGGAATGAATGAGTTCTGTTTATTTGATTAGCATGTTAGAAATAAATAGGTAGCTGTTTTATTTCTTAAGAAAAATACCAACAACCCTCAACTGGTTTTTCCTAGTTAGCTGGCCCTTTACCTTCTAATACACACTCCTCCTAATTCCAAAGGACAAGCAAAAGGAAGAGGTGGGAAACACACCCACCAAGAACTCAAAATTTGAGTAAAATAATTTTCAAAGCAAGCTATAAACAACAGCAAAATAAGAGTGACATTTGATAGCCTTTAAGGCTTTTAACAAGCACAGCTAACAATAAATAACTGCATTCAGAAGCCATTTGTATTGTTCTCCAATTGTTAATGTTCTTCTAACTTTAAAATTCAAATAGTCTGATATCCTAAATATATTCCGTATTTTAAAAGCCAGTTTTACTCCTAATTTAGGACAGTTTTGAACCAAACAAGAATTTACATAGTTTGAATTATGATATCACTTTTTATTAATAGTATTCCTTGCTTCTTTTCTATATCAAATGTTATTGTGCAATTAATATGTTTTTAATACATTTGAGACCCATGGCACTGTGTGGGAATACTTTTAAAAATTTCCCTCTCGTAATAAATTGTGTATGCTTCAAATTCCCAAGAAGATTTACTATATATTTCTATAATATATAATATTTGGATTGAAGTAAAGGGGCTCTGTTTTTTTTAATCACTTTTATTTACTGGAAGTGGGGGTCATGGTGCTGGAAGTTGTGTTAAGTATTAAGGGCCTAAGTTAAGAGACCTTTACTCTTTTCCAGCAACCAACATGCTGTGGTGACCTTGAGCAAATTACTAAATGTTAATCTGTGGGGAATTGGCAGTCGATTTTCCTGAACCAGATCTAGAATTTGCCAAGGCTATTTAAGTGGTCACTGGTAGAGGAAGATGTAGAGGCAAATGTAGGATTGGAGGCAGGACTTATATCCCTACAAAACCACAAGACTATAAACTAGAATAAAGGAAAATCCTGCCCATCTGCAAATAAAAGATAAAGTATAGAGAAATATTCAGCAATTGAAATGTAAAATACACATGAAACATGAAACTGACAGTCAAATGAGCTAAGCTCACAAAAATGCAAGCAAATGGCTCTGGCAGAGGCCCAGTGAAACACAATGTTGGGGAAAAAAATCCTCAATAATTCAGATACTGGGTTTGATTTTAGAAGAACTGAGCTGATTTTGGGTAACTTAGTGTGTGGCAAATTGGTCATTTGATAAACTGATTTTCAGTCTTACTTCCCAGTCTAAGATAATGAGATATTTCCCAATTGTCCCTCTAAAGGACCTTAACCATTTATGACCCACATTTTCACAAATATGGAGTACTATTAACCCTTTTAAACTTTGCACTATTATTGATGGATAGGTCATCTCCTTCCTTCATTCAACCTGTTCATTTAACAAATATTTACTAAGTACCCACTATTTGGCAATCACTGTACTTAGACACTGAGTGAGGACTGGGCACTGAACAAGATAGGACATTAACCAAGTGATAGAGAAAAGAACATTTTGAAGGTCTGTAAGTGGAAATGAGCTTGGCATACCCAAGGAACTAAAAGAAATGAAGTAGGAATGGGTCACAGAGAGAGAAGAAGAAAAAAAAAAAAAGAGTATGAAAACATACACAAGTGTATAGTCATGAAAGTCTTTGTTAAAGGTTTTGGGTTCTATTCCAAGCGCAATGGAAGCCAATGGGGGATTTTCAGCGTGACTGTGAACAGACTTTCTTTTTTTTTTTTTTTTTGAAGACTGCTCTGTCTGTGTACAGATTAAAACCTGAACAGGACATAAGAACCAGAAAGGAGACAATTACACTGGCTTAGTGAAAATATACTGTTGATATGAACCAGAGCAGTAGCAAAAGGGAGAGCAGGGGAAGAACCAGGAAATCTTAAATGCTATTAGGAGGCAGCATCTATCAAAGTCTGGTAACAAATCAAATAGGAATAGGAATTGAAGGAAATTTTCAATTGCAAGGTAACTTCTTGGTATTTTGTTTGAGCTACCAGGTGAGTGGTACTTTTTATCAAGACAGAACACATTGGAAGTTAGGAAGAGCATATCAAATTCATTAATTTGCATTTCTAAGAGTATATGTGAAGCTGAACATTGTTTTTCATATATTTATAGCTTGGAACACAATATGCACTCAACAAATATTTGTTAAACATTTATTATGGAATAAATTACCCTTTGCCCATTTCTCAGTTGTATAGACCTTTAAAGCATGGGCTCTAGAGTGAGAAAAGCTTAGTCTTGATTCCCAGCTTCACCTTCAATCACACTGCTTACCCTTTCTGAGGTACAAGTTCCTCATTTAAGAAAGGAAGAAGAGCTTGAATAGCAACAATATCTACACAAGGAGTTATTTAGAGGATTAAAATAAATATAAAGAAGTGCTTTGTATATTTTAACTGCTATATAAATGTTATTTTACTACTAGTAAATAACAAACAAATTACTACTAATAATAATTTATATGCTCTTTTTAAATGTTAAGGATATTAGCTCTTTGCCTGTTATTTCTTTGCAATTTTTCCCCACTTGCCATTTGTAAATTAGCTCTATTTATTATATCTCTTGTGGTTCTAAATCTTATGTACAGTCTATCCTTTTCTTCATATTTCTTGTCTTTTGTCTTGCTAAGAAGAGCTTTCCTCTCCTACTATTATACATGTATTCCCCTGCATTTCTTCTAACAGTTTATTTTTCACAATAATATTATTCATATTGATAGAATGTCTTTTTGTGAGTTTTTTCCATATGCAGCAGAGAACCCACTTCCCACCATAAATGCTTAACTACCAATTTCCCCAATTAATGTATAATGCATATTACCTATTTTAAATACCACTTTATAATACATTAAATTTTCATATAACAGGGCCGGCCGAGTGGCGCGATGGTTAAGAACTCGCTTGGGATGCCAGAGGGCCCCGGTTCGGATCCCACATATGAGGGCCAGTGACACTGCCCTCTACAGCTAAGATGCTGAACAACAGCTCAACCTGGAGCTGGGCTGACATGAGTCGCCGGCGACGGCGTGGGCTGCAGTCCCTGTGGCAGTGGATTGCCATGGGCTACCGTGTGTGGCCAGCAGCCAGCGTGAGCGGCCAGCAGCCGCAGTGAGCGGCCGTCCAGAAGCCGGCGACTGATCTGCCTCGCCAGAGAAGAGCGCAATGATGGTGCCAACTTGGGGCCAGTGAAGCAACATCCTCCACAACTAGACTGAAGAACAAAACGACAGCAACTTGTCTGTTCCCCTTTCCCCAATTCCCCAGCACTGTTCCCATCCCCCCAATTTCCCAATAAAAATCTTAAAAAAAAAAAATTTTTTTTCATATAACAAAATACTCTTTTAAGTATACAAAAAGTATACATTGTTTATAATAATGATAAATAGCAACTTCCTTAATACTCTTCAGTAAAGGCCTGGTCAAATAAATCATGCGGGCCTCATATAATGGAACATTACGCAACCATTAACTACAATAAGTAGATCTACATGTACTTACATGAGAAGTCCACAATATATTGTTAAGCATAAATAAAACAAAAATATGCTGAAATCAGTTTTTATAGTATTCCATTTTTATAAAAAATAAAATAATTATAAACAAATACATACATCTTTAGATATTATGGTGGAAAAGTTTTGGAGGATAGTCACCAAAATTTAAACTAGATACATTTATCTATAGAAGGTAGATGATTTAGATATATGAGAATCTTTCACTTTTTACAATACATACTTACTTCTGTATTATTGGAATATTTTTATAGATTGCATGTAGTATTTCTATAATCATAAAATAAATAAAGGGAAAAAAAAAACTTTACCTGCAATGGCTTCATAGAGCCCAGCTTTATACCCTAAGTACTCATACTCTTCAAATCTCTGAGGTCCCTCACACAGGGCTCGGCACTCCATATCTTCACTGAAATATTCTCGTAAAGCTTGTTCAAAGTACTTGATTGCCAGCTCAAAGTCATCGGCCTCATAATGTTTAACTCCAGCACTGTAACTCTCCTGCAAAGAAACAGAAAAAACTTCCTTTTTTCCCCCCCAAAGAGCACCAACAGGGCACTTGAATAGCAGGGTTCATGCAGACTTGGGATCACTTTGGTAGGTGGGGTATTGGACTCGTGTGCTGTGGAGGGATAAAAAAGGGTTGCAGTGGGAGATGAAGCGAAACTCCCCTGCCTTCAACTAACTATAAATGAGAAGGGACTTCAGAGCAAGCCAATTTCTGTGGCAGCAATCAATTTCATTTTCTTCCTGAGCACACTCAAGATTGCACTTTCTAACCCCTTTGAATGTAGGCACGGCCATGCAACAAAGTGCAGATGAACTGATGTGGGTGGACATGACAACCGTTTCCAGGCCTGGCCCAGCTAAAAAAACGAAAAAAAAGGCTCCTTTCTAAAATCTTCCTCTCTTACCCTTTGCTTCAGTCATCTTGGAGGCAACATGTTGAGAATGGTGACATCTCCAATTGCAAAAGAAGCCGTTTCAAGTAAGTAAGATTTCACTTAAATAAATAATTATATGTCTTAACAACAACAACAACAACAACAACAACAACAACAGCAATTTGAAAAGTACAGGTACAATGGAAGAACCACTGGGCTCGAAGCTAGGAAACCATAGTGTGCCCTGAGCATTTCACATTGGCCTCAAGTCCTATGCATATGCATAAAATAAAAGTGTTGGAGGGGGAGCTGAAGCTTAGAGAGTGTTACAGATATTTATATGATATTCTACTTTTCACCATATCATACTGATTTTCTAAATTGCTTTTCATGGTCTCTCAATTTTTTCAACCCTGATAATTAAAATATTTCATCTGAGAACTCTGAAAGGGTAAAAACGTTACTATATTGTAAATCAGGAATCAAGGTGAGATAGCCATAATGAAAGAGAAAAGCACTAAGTTCCACATGGTTCGAGCAGGGGACCCCCGAGCTCACCAGGTGTGGTTTGGCTTCTCGATCCACCAATTGGAATGCCTCGACGCCAGCCAGCGTTCTGTAATTCTCAATGTTCTGCTGCATTTCCATGTGCTCAGGGTTGGCCATGAAAAACGTGTGGGCTGCTTCCACTGCCTTTTCCAGCTGGTTAAGCTATGGAGAAAAAAAAGGACCGAATGAAGGCAAATACTTCTACATAATCCAGCCTCAGGACCAGGACAATGTCTCACAGCTTGAAAGTGGCAGGGTCGTGTCCCAGTTCACATTCACTGTACTTGAACTCCACCCTAAAAGGCAGGAGTTTAATCTATAGTACTCCAAAAATATGCGGAGAGTTTGACTTTGGTGAGAATGAATACACGTGCTTTGTTCCAAGTTCATTCTCTACCCCCTCTTTTCTAAGCCATCTGTGTTTTCCGGGAAATTGAATCTATATGCTTCTGCTTTTTTCGATGAATCAAAATAAAAAGCTGCCAATGCTGTGTCACTTCTAATTCACATTTTCAACATTTCTGTCTTTTATTTTCCCTTCATTTATTCTTGTTCCTTTTGCCTTTAATTCTGACAATGGAGTATAAACAAACATATGACTTTCCAGAAGATGGGATTCGATATGCCCACTCCGTCAAATTTGCTACCAGGCTTTAGAGTGTGAAGAATACAAAGTTAGAAAGAGTAAGTTATTCCAACACATAAGAGAGATGCTAAATACAACTCAAAAATGTTCCACCAAACTCCTTTGATTGAAGTATTTGATCCTAAACTTACAACTATGATTCTCATTAATAAAAAATAATTTTAATAACCACTACATAGACACTATAAATCTCTTTCTGAACTACTTAATACACTGCTCTCTATATAGTATGCAGTGGTGTATTTTTTAATGAAATGGAATTAAATTTACTCAATTTAAGACATTTTGCCCTATGCTTTAGTTATGGAGGATGTCTGTAGATAGATCCATTTGCCATATATCAGAAAAATTAATGTTCACATTAGTCGTTTTTTTCATGGTAAATCTAAATTTTGTTTAGTCTATTTTAAAGTATAAAGAGATAAAAACTCATTGTTATTGATAAAGCAAATATAAAATCAGGGAATGGCATATAAGATTCAACTGAATATGCTTTTGACAGTCTGGCCACTAAAGAATGAGTAAGATATAGAAAGAGGTATGAGGTTCCCAAGACCCCAGTCACTGCCATCTCATGATATATAAAGAATTTTAGTCCTTACCACAGAAAACATAAACTGCCCTATTTCAAGAGCTGACATCCTTAAATTCCTCTAATCATAGTAAAACATTCGCTTTTCCCCTTTAATTTACATATGTTTACCTACTGACCTTTCTTCCATTAAATCTTCTCTGAAATCAGCTTCCCCTGACAACTTTACCTTTGTTTTCAATTCTGTGCTTCCAGAATTATGTTGGCTGTCAAAATTACTTCACGTCAGAGCTGATATACTCTGGTTGTATAGCACCAGCCATTCGAGTTCATAAAACATAAATCCATACTTATGGTTTTAACTTTCCTACCTCAATGTTTTGCTCAGGCTCTTCCATGACCAAGAGATCCTTTGTCCCTTGGTCTTTTCTTATAGAAATCTAACATATCCTGTAAGGCCAAACTTAAATTCTCAAAGAGATCCTTCCTCAACCCTATAGCTGTGAGTCACCTTGTCCCTGTTCCTCAACTGGCACTTACATACTCTGTACTGGAGGAACAAACTTACTCAGAGAGAACACAGTACAGAGCTCTCTGAAGACAGGGACCATATGACTTATCTTTTTGTTATCCATATGCTTTACATATAGATAATGCCTATGATATGTCTGAAAAAAGAGGGTTAAAAAACAACTTTTAGCAAGCAAATCTTTTACACACAAATCAAAAGTTATCTTACATGTGAGTATGCTTCATAAGCTAAATATACTAAAAGGATGTACGTTTAACAACATCTAGGAAGTCATTATTCCCACTGACAGCTTCCAATGCTGGTTATCACCGATAAATGTGTTTCAGTAGCTCTTAAAAACTGTCAGATAATGTTGATAAATTAGTTTCTTTTCTTAAATTTGACCACTATTTTTTTTTTTTTGCTTATTTGGTGCTATCCCCATTTACAACCCACTACTGAACATAATACCATCGTCCCCAATATAAGTAGAAAGAGATTCCATGATTTAAAGTTAAACCATAAAAGTTATTCATGAAATAGCCAAGGCTTTAAAATTATTGTGAACCTGGTTAGGAAACTAGAATTGGCTGCCAGAGTCTATAAAATAGGCCATTATTTTAACTGGAAGCTTGATCTCTTTGCAGTCCATTTTAGAAATTAGATACACACATCTGAAGTGGCAGGAAAAGTCCAGGTGAACATGTGTGTGCTACACATAATGCTGTATTATTGGATGGAGATTATTATAAGGCCTTGTAAGTACTAGGTTTCAGCTAAGGAAGGATCTGCCCACTACTGCACTGAAACAAACAAAGAGTAAACTGCATTTAAAGGCTCCATACTGGATTTCCCTTAAGACCAAAATAAAACAAACCACAGGAGAGGATAACTAACGTGAAGGTAACTCTATGCATTAGAAAAATAAATTGTAAAATAAAGAACTGAGGAAAGGGAAATGATTTGACAACAAGATGGTATCACACTTTTAAGGGAGCCAACGGTTCCACTGAGACGTGAAAAACAGTGGTAAGCAATGCCTTCAAGAAGCACCGGGTCATTTTATCTCAGGCTGTGAAGGACTAACACAAACATTCTCTCCTGCCAGCCCAGAAGCGGGACTGTACGTGGCAGTCATGCTGCATGGAAAAAGAAATGAACACTGATTAAATCAACACCCTGCTGGCATGCAGGACTGACTCTGTCCACTGGTGAGTGAATGAGACTTTTCTGACAAACAAATGGTTTTCCACAGCCAGTAAGTAATAAAGGAACATTTCAAAAGCACACACTGACTACTTAAAAACCTTCAGTAATTGTCCATTGACTACAAAAGAGATTCCAGAAACTATGTACCGTGACGTTCAAAAACCTCCGGGATTTGGCCCCACCCTATTTTTCTAGTATAACGTCCTTCTATGTGTCATGAAAACTTTTCTAGAAGTTTTGTAATACACCATCCTCCTCTTCAAGAAAACATATAGACCTAGTATTTCAGTCATACCCAAATTCTGTATTTCATGCATTCACTTATTCAGCAAATATTTATGTTGCATGAAATTTGTGCAAGAAAAAGAACTATGACAATAGTTGATGAGAATATGCACATGGCCAAAACAAAGACCCCACTTTCTAGGCGCTTACAGTCTCACCCAAGGAGACGCGTCTTAAGTAAATACATCATTAATGAAAATGATTTCAAACTGTGCTAAGTGCTATGAAGAAATAAATGGACAAACAATGCTGTCAGAGCATGCGGGGTTGGAACAGAAGCATGACTCCTTTAGATAAATTAGTCAAGAAAGGTCTCTCTGCAATGGTATTTTTGAGCTGTGACCTAAATTTTGAGAAGCAAATCAAGAGCAGAGCAGGAGGAAGAGTGTTCCATGTCAAAAAAAAAAAAAAAAAGAAAAAAAAAAAGAAAAAGTCAAGTGAAAGAGAACTAAATTCAGGAAAAAGTTTTTTGTTTTTTTTTAATTTTAATTTTAATTTTTTTAATTGGGGAATTTGGGGAGGGGAACAGTGTTGGGGAATTGGGGAGGGGGACCAGCCAAATTGTTCTACAGTCTTAGTTGTGGAGGGCGCCAGTTGCCATCTGGCTGCCCGTCGGCAGCTGGTAGCCTCTAAGCCCAAGGTTCTGTGTTACAATCTTAGTTGCAGGTGGGCATAGCCACCATCCCATGCAGGAGTCAGACCAGCAGCTTTGTTGTTAACAGCGCATGCTCTATCCACTGAGCCATCCGGGCGGCAGCTCAGCTCAAGGTGCCAAGTTCAATTTTAGCTGCGGGCAGGTGTAGCGCACCATTGAACAGGTAGTCTTGTTGTTAGGAGCACGTGCTCTCACTCGCTGAGCCATCCTGCCACCTGTTGGCAGCTCAGCGGCAGGTCAGCTCGGGTGCAGTGTCACTGGCCCATGTGGGAATCGAACTGGCGGACCTGTTGCTCAAAGCTCATGTTCTTAAGCTAGCTCTTAACCAACTGAGCCACTTGGCCAGCCCAGGGAAAAGTTTTGACATGTTTTAAAAGCAGAGCAGAGACTAAAGAGAGAGAGTTGTAGAAGGACCGGTCACTTGTAGGCTATGGTAAAGAGTTTTCATGTTATTCTAAGTGCAAGAGAAAACCATTAATGAATTTTAAACATTATCTGATATGCATTTTTAAATAATAATTCAGGCTGCTATGTGGAGAATAGATCGTTGGTAGCAGATAGGAGAACAGTGCAGTAATCCAGGTCAGAGAAAATGCCATTACTTTGCAAGATAAAAATAGGACAGACTAACTCAGGCTTTATCCATTGCTCCCCTCTGTCTTTCATTCCTTTCTCTTCCTCACCATTTTCCCCATCCCTATAGCAATGTTTCTCAATTGAGAAGGCGAACACACAGCACAAAAGGAAACAATTCTAAAATTTCCAAACATATTTTAGGAAAAACATACACATTCCCTTTCTTCTGAATTAGAAGACATAGGAAGCTCAAATATTTTGAATAAGAAATTTAAAACAGCTTGTAAGACATATGCAAGAAAGGAAAAAGACTAATTTTAAAGCACATAAAAACAAAAAGAACACTGTATACTTTTGAAATAGAATATTTAGGATCTCTTTCTATCTTCTGAAGCCTTTTTTACACTCAAGGTAAAATGTCAAGCCTGAAATAAGTAATTTCCATTCTTCTACTCAAACATGAACATTTTCAATAAAGAAGGGAATTCTTTTGCTACTTTCATCACCCTAACTTTGGGAATTCATCCAATATCATGCATTACAATTTGATGAAGTGCTATAATTTTTGCCTTGGGTCTTTACTTAAATTTCACAATATAGAAACTCTAGAGAATTTTTAACCCCATATGAGGTTTCTTACCAACTGACAAGCATGTAAGCAGACACTGAAGACATCCTGTTTCTAAACCACAGAAGAAATTGTAAAGCCTAGTTATCAACATAAACACACTGGCTGAAGAGAAAGAAA